CAGTTCAACTCCCAGCTATTCTGCTTCTAATACAGCTTACCAGCTAATACACCTGGGAAAGCAAGAGAAGATGGCCCAAGCATTTGGGATCCTGCCACCCAATGGGAAACCAGGATGGAATTCAGGATCCTGGCTTCGGTGTGTTCCCGCCTCAAACATTGTGGCCATTTGCAAAGTAAACCAGCAGATAAAAGTGCTCTCTGTGTCTCTCCCACTCTGTCATTTTGTCTTTCAAATAGCTAAATCTTGGAACCAGTGTTGTGGCTTGTGACACTGACATCCCATTTCAGAGTGCTAGTTCAAGTCCTAGATGCTCTGCTTCCACTCCAGTTCCCTGCTAATGCACCTGGGATGGCAGTGGAAGATGGCCCACATGCTGGGCTCCTGTCACCCATGTGGAATACCCAGAGTTCCTGACTCTTGGCTTTGGCCTGGCCCAGCCCTGACCACTGTGGTCATTTGGGGAGTGAACCAGTAGATGAAAGATCTCCTTCACTCTCTGCCTTTCAAATAAATAAAATAAATCTTAAAGAAATAAATCAGAGGGGGGAGGGAGAGGGAGGGGAAGAGAGAGAGAAAGAGACAGAGAGAGAGACAGAGAGAGAAAGGAGCCAGCATTGTGGCACAGAGAGTTAAGCCACAACTTAGGACATCGGGAGTGCAGATATGAGTCTGAGCTCCTCCACTTCTGATTCAGCTCCCCACTAATGCGCCTGGGAAGGCAGCAGAAGATGGCCCAAGTAACTGGGCCCTTGCCATCTGCATGGGAGATCATGCTGAAGTTCCTGGCTCCTTGCTTTGGCCTGGCCCACCAAGCGTGACCATTATGCCCATTTCGGGAGTAAATCAGTGTATGGCAGATTCTCTCTCTCTGTCTCAAATAAAATAAATAAATCTTTAAAAATAAAGAAAAAAGATATAATAGAAACTGTTAATAGTAAGTGCCTATGGGGAAAGAAAGAGTTTCTAGAGGTAGACGAGATTTTTCTTTTTCATTATAGTATACACTTTGACTCGTCGTTCATTTTGGTATGTGTGTTGGCCAAGGAAATAAAATAATTTATATTAAAAATATATATGGATATAAACAGATCAGTCATATATAATAAATGAAAGTTTTCTAAATGTATCCATAGGAGTCTTCAAAATGTTCATGAAGGATGTATATTACCAAAAAAACTATGTATGGATTTCAATTTATCTTTTAATTCCACATGCCATGACCTTTTTGAAGTCCTTGTGCATGTGAATGTGAATACAAAAGTATTCGTTAGCTAATATGAAGTTAAACTGCCTTATACAGGAATGACCAGAATGGGAGAATTAGAGGTTCTTATCAGTAAAAACATAAATATTATAATGAACTACATAAATATTTTTAGAGATACAGAGACCTAAACTTTTAAACGTCTTACTTTAAGATTCCAAAGGGTTTCTGGCTAGAGAAGGAGTAATAACCATCTAATGCAGGCAATTCCATACCTCCCCTACTGAAATCATTATTTTTCAATTTAAAGACATAAATCCACAAGAAAAGAAAAAATGAAAGAACACCAAAGAACCAAACCAGGGCTGGGAAGCAGAAAAACTATTTGAAAGTCAATAAATTATGCTCAAAATTTAAAAACAAGAATAGTAAGCAGAAATGGAGAAAATACCAAAGAATCAACTAAAAGGGTTTAAAATTATGTCTCTACCAAAGGTAACATGGGGAAAACTCTCTCCTTGCCTTCACCTCACTCTGCTTCCAAAAACAAGAAAGGAAAGGAAAGCAATGCTTGATCCTAAAAGTCAATGAGGTAAAAAATCTGACTTTAAAAGTATTTAGGGGTGGCTGTTGTGGTTCAAGCAGGTTAAGGCGCTGCTTGGGATGCCTACATTCCATAACAGATTGCCGATTCAATTCCTGGCTCTTCCATTCCATTTCAGGTCCAGTTCTCTACTAATGCACCTGGGAAGCAAAGGATGATGGTTCAAATACTCGAGTTCCTGTCATCCGCTTGGGAGACCCAGATGGAATTCTTGGCTTCTGGCTTCAGCCTGGGTCAGCCCTGCATGTTGTGGCTTTTTTGGGCAGTGACCAGTGGATAGAAGATTTCTCTGATACTCTGCCTCTCAAATAAGTAAATAAATATTTAAAACTAATGTTTGGGGTCAGGTGCTGTGGCATAGTGGGTAAAGCTGCTGCCTGCAGTGCCAGTATCCCATATGGGCACCTGTTCGTATCTCAACTGCTCCACTTCCAACTGAACTCTCTGTTATGGCTTGGAAAAGCAGTAGAAGATGCCCCCAAGTCCTTGGGGCCCTGCACCCACGTGGGAAGACCTGGAGGAAGCTCCTGGCTCCTGGTTTCAGATCGGTACGGCCAACTGGGGAGTGAACCAGCGGATGGAACACCTCTCTGTCTCTCTCTCTGCCTCTCTCTCTGCCTCTTCTTCTCTCTCTGTTGTAACTCTGATTTTCAAATAAATAAATATATCTTAAAAAATAAATAAAAAATAATGCTCGTTCATTGGAGGATATGAAAAACAGTGAAGTTTTTAGATTGTTTAGAAAAGTTTTTAGAAAAAAATTAAAAATTAATTTGACTTTTACCAAGATGAACTAATAATTTAATGTAGTTCTATTTCAAATTTATGTATAATCTTGTATCTCTACCTTTGTGTAACTTAATAATTCAGCCTGGAAATTTTCTCCTATGATTAGGCATTTTTTAAAAATGCACTGTTGAACTTTTAGGTGGTTCCCATCTTCACCATTAAGAGTCCTGCAATGATTATACTGGTAGCATACAAGCATACTTCCTTTAAGACAAACTGAGAATACTGTATACAAGGACAACTCTGAAGGACCCCAGAATTAGATCTCTACTCCTTTTTTTTTTTTTTTTTTGGACAGGCAGAGTTAGACAGTAGGAGAGAGAGAGACAGAGAGAAAGGTCTTCCTTCCGTTGGTTCACCCCTAAAATGGACACCACGGTCGGCGCAGCACCGATCCGAAGCCAGGACCCAGGTGCTTCCTCCTGGTCTCCCATGCGGGTGCAGGGCCCAAGCACTTGGGCCATCCTCCACTGCCTTCCCTGGCCACAGCAGAGAGCTGGACTGGAAGAGAAGCAACCAGGACAGAATCCAGCGCCCCAACCGGGACTAGAACCCGGTGTGCCAGCGCTGCTAGGCGGAGGATTAGCCTAGTGAGCCGCGGCGCCGGCCAGATTATCTACTTTCTATGACTGGAACTTTCTGCAGAGTCAAATGTATGAAACTCCTGCTTTACATAATCCAATACTAACTAACTAGAGCTGTTGCTGAGTCTAAGTGCCAACTTAATTAGCAAGATGTTAGTTAATTTTATACCCTCAACTTCAGAAGACAACACAAACAATTGTGCAGCTTTCAAAAGCACCCTGCATCTGTGTAGTGCTCCTCCACTTAGCATCTTTACTCCTCAAAGAAGTCACATAGAACTATTTTCCCAGGGCAGATGTTGTAGTACAATGGTTTGGCCCCTACTTAGTTTGAGTCCCAGCTATTCCAATTCTGATCTAGATCCCTGCTAATGTGCCTGGGAAAACAGTGTAGGGTGGCCCAACTGCTTGGCCCCTTCAGCTCAGGTGGGAGTCCAAGATGGATTTTCTGGCATCTGGCTTTGACCTGGCCCAGTGCTGGCTGTTGCAGGAATTTGGGAAGTTAACCAGTGAATGGAAGCTCTGTTTTTCCCTCTCCTCTGTCACTCTGCCATTCAAATGAATAAATAAATCTTCCAACTGCAGGTTCACTCCCAAATGCTTTCAACAGCTGGGGCTGGGTCAGGCAGAAGCCAGGAGCCAGGAACTCCAGCCAGTCTCCAATGTGGGTGGCAAGGGCACAGGTTCATCACCCACTGCCTTCGCAGGAACAAATAAATAAATAAATAAATCAGGGGAGAAAAAAAGGAAATAACTGCTTAATGGAACCAGCATGGGAACCATACTCCTTGGTTAGATTAGCAGAGTCCTAAAAAGAGTTGGATAACAATGTGAATAATAAGAATAACTATAAAGTCTAATTACAAAAGGAAGTTTTTACAATTTTTAAAAAAAAAAAGCTATTCTCCCACTTTACTGGATAGGAAAATGAGAGTCACAGCAGCGAAAGTAGTAGTGAACTGGCCACAATGTAAATGATTCAAATTTGGATACTCTTTGTTAACTGTCTGCCATTCTCTAAGTTAGGATGAAAGATCAATGAGCATCAAACTAGTAACATCTGAAGTGAAACCTTGCTCTTAATTTCTTCTTTTACCATCTTTAAACGTGTAATAAGGCTGAAAACATTTTCTCTCAAAAAAAAATTGAGAATAGGGAACTTGGTTGGTTTAGTTCTATAACCTGTTAATCATCTGATCCTGTTTAGATTTTAAGACTTGGTTTTCACACAGGATTTCATATGCAAGGAGGCTCAACTGTGTTTCACATTTACATTTAAGATGAAATGAAAGGATGTATGAAAATGTTCTGGCATAAGTATCGCTCAGCATTTATTGATTGAATTAATGAGTGGCTATAAAGAAAGAATATACTAGGTATATATCTAAAATCATAGATATTTGCATGCAGCAAATTACTACTTGCATATTGCCTAAAAGTAATGATGAGCACTGTACATAGATCCTAAGTAAACATATCTGTTATCCTAATACACTCTGAATTGTGCCTCTCCATCTAGGATATTTTTTACTTACTGACTATATATACGTGGTAACCATGTAGCAATCCTAAAACAAAAATCAAATGTAGTTTTGGAACAACCTGCAGTACCAATCCATTTATGTGAAATATTATGGAATTACAAAGCAAAAATTGCTTCTTGATCTTCAAATACATTAGTAAGAATTTGCTAATATCCAGGTTTTTACAACTAACTTTTCTAATATATAAAACATTTGATATTTATACAGATTACACCAGAAAAATACTGAACATGGTGTTCCTAGAATTAACATTTGCTGCTTTAAAAACTTACTGAGAAATGAAGTAGTTCATCTTTCTCCTCTTCAGTGAATCCCCCAACTGTTAGTGCTTTGGGGCGATGGTCCACCACCATGTGATTTAGTGAGCCCCTTCCTCTGCCACCACGGCCTCGGCCTCTTCCTCGACCTTGAGTGGACATGGTCTTTCCTCGACCCACAGGTAAAATACCTAATCTTGCAGCCTGAATTAGCAAACAAAAGGTAGAATGCAACATACATTCTTAGACTAAGCCTTGGAAAATAGAGAAAGAGAAAACTATATTTGAGATGCTAAATATGATGGGTCAGTAACTCTTTAAATCTTACCTCAACCTGTAACTGACTGAGTTTTTTCCGTAATTCTGTTGTATCTTCACCTGAGGACAGCCTCTTATGCAGGTCCAGTTCAGTATCTAGTAACTCTTTCTGGGCCTTTGGAAAGATCAGTAGTAAAAAAGGTATTTTTAGAAAACTTCTAAGACCTTATTCAAAACATAATAATTATATGAATACATACTTCTCTTTTGGGAAAATGAGAGTGAGAGGATGCAACTGATATGGCTACTTTAAGGAAAGTAAATTCATAGATAAAACATTGCAAATGTAAAGAATATATCACTGAAAAACAATAAGCAATAATACTGTACAAAATAACTTAAAATCAGATCTGGCAAAATAGTCACTTCAGAGAAGGCAGATAAGAGCAATCTTCACAAAATAAATTATACAGTGCAATATTATTAATTGCTCAAAGGTAACAGTTTTGTAATTACTCTTAGACTGGATAGCCACTATTTTTGCTGTTTTTTTTTTTAAAGATTTTTTATTTTTATTTATTTGAAATGTAGAGTTACAGACAGAGGGAAGCAGAGACAGAGATAAAAGTCTTCCATCTGCTATTTTACTCCCTAAATAGCCACAACAGCAGGAGCTGAGCAGATTTGAAGCCAGGAGCTGCTTCTGGGTTTCCCACGTGGGTGTAAGGGCCTGGGCACTTGGGCTACCTCCTATTACTTTCCCAGGCCATAACAAAGAATTGAATAGGAAGAGAAGCTGCCAGAACAGGAACTATTGCCCATACGGAATGCTGGCACCACAGGCAGAGACTAAGCCCACTACGCCACAGTGCTGGCCCCTAGCCACTCTTTTGGATAAAACACAAATTATTTATCAGTTTTCAGGGGGCATATCTGTCAAAGGTTTTGTTCCCTTCCTATGTACTCTTTTTACTTTTTTTTTTTTTTGATTTATTTATTTATTTGAGAGGCAGAGTTACAGAGAGGAAGGGACATAGAGAGAGGTCTTCCATCTACTGGTTTACTCTCTAACTGACTGCAATTGTCAGAGCTGGGCTCATCTGAAGCCAGGAGCCAGAAGCTTCTTCTGGGTCTCCCACGTGGGTGCAAGGGCCTGAGCATTTGTGCCATCTTCTACTGCCCTCCAAGACACATGATCAGGGAGCTGGATTGGAAGTAGAGGACCCAGGACTCAAACTGGCACCCTTATAGGAAGCTGGTGCCACAGGAGGCCTAACCTACTATGCCACAGTGCCAGACTCTCCTTTTACTTTTTAATTGTGCAAATTCTTTCTATAATTGGGGAACATTTAAATAAAAACATTACATTGTATTTTTAAAAAGTAATTTTAACTCAAACACTTTATATTTCTACACTCAAAGAACCATAACTGCAAATGTTATATCACACTGTACATAACAATTTGCATTCTATATATCGGACAAATTTATTCCCAGTTCTCTAAAGGGTTAAAATGATCTTAATGGGGCTGGCATTGTGGTACAGCTAGTAAAGCTGCCACCTGTGATGCCAATATCCATATGGGTGCTGGTTTATGTCTTCACTGCTCCACCTCTGATCCAGCTCCCTGCTAATGGCCTGGGAAAAGCAGCAAAAGATGGCCCAAGTCCTTAGACCCTGCCACCTACATGGGAAAACCTGAATGATGTGCCTGTCTCCTGGCTTCAGCCTAGCCCAGCCCTAGCCATTGAGGACATTTGGGGCATGTACCAGCAAGTGGAAGATTTCTCTGTCTCTTCCTCTCTCTCTCTCCAACTCTTTTAAATAAATAAAACAGAAATCCTTAAAAAAAAAAGAAAGAAAGAAAGAAATTAACTAAATCTACAACAGAGTGGTAGTAACAATGGAACCACTGAGAACCACTGAGTAAGGTAAGTATTCTCTCAGAGAAAGGAAACACTTGGAAATTAATAAAACCAGATTTAAATGGATCTAGAACTTCTTCTTATTCTCTTTTATAGCATGACACATTTTTACCCATATTAAAGCCCCTGATAACCTGATTATTAAAATGATAGTTTTGCTACAATAGTACATTATTAAAAACTGCTGAAATAGGAAACGTTTCTTTCCTGCCCTTCACTTTAGCAGTTTCATCTTCAGGACAGAAGACCAAAACTTCGATTAAAAAACACATCTGGCCAGCGCCGAGGCTCACTTGGCTAATCCTCCGCCTGCGGTGCCAGCACCCTGGGTTCTAGTCCGTCCCGGTTGGGGCGCCGGATTCTATCCCAGTTGCTCCTCTTCCAGTCCAGCTCTTTGCTATGGCCCGCGAAGGCAGCGGAGGATGGCCCAAGTGCTTGGGTCCTGCACCCACATGGGAGACCAGGAGGAAGCACCTGACTCCTGGCTTCGGATAGGTGCAGTGCGCCGGCTGCAGTGTGCCGACCGTGGTGTCCATTTCGGGGGTGAACCAACGGAAGGAAGACCTTTCTCTCTGTCTCTCTCTCTCACTAACTCTGCCTGTCAAAAACAAAACAAAACAAAACAAAAAACACATCTTTGGGGCTAGTGCTGTGGTTTAGCAGGTGAGGCTGCCGCCTGCAGTGCTGGCATCCCATATGGGCGCCGGTTCAAGACCCGGCTGCTCCACTTCCAATCCAGCTCTCTGCTATGGCCTGGGAAGGCAACGGAAGATGGCCCAAGGCCTTGGGCCCCTGCACCCTCTTGAGAGATCCGGAAGAAACTCCTGGCTCTTGGCTTTGGATCAGTGCAGCTCCAGCTGTTGCAGCCAATTGGAGAGTAAACCAATGGATGAAGACCTCTCTCTCTCTCTCTGTCTCTTCTTCTCTCTGTGTAACTCTGACTTTCAAATCAATAAATAAATCTTTAAAAAAAAAAAAACCCACATCTTTGTTCAAACAATATTATCAACTCTTGATCACAAAGACAGCCAATACCATCTAATGAAAGAGTAAAAAAAAAAACCTGTCTTATAACTGCTTGACTATCAAGCTACCAGGCAATTTGCTACCTCAGAGTTCTGCTATAAGGGCTGGTATTGTGGCATAGTGGATTAAGCCACTTTCTGTGACACTGGCATGCCATGGGAGACCTGAAAGGAGTCCCAGGCTCCTGGCTTTGACCTGACCCAACCCAGCCCTGGCTGTTGTGGCCTTCTGGGGAGTAAATCAGCAGATAGAAGATCTTTCTTTCTCACCCTCTCTCTCTCTCTCTGTAACTCTTAACTTTCAAATAAACAAATGTCTTTACAAAAAAAAGAGAGATAGACTTAGTTCTACTGTACTTTCAATATTTTCAAACTGCCAAGCTCATGGCAGCATGTTCAATTAAAAAAATGCAAATACATACCTCTGTTTTTGTCTTCACTTTAGATGGTGCAGAAACTGCAGAAGATGTCTTTAATTCATCTTTCAGTTGTGAGATCTTTTCTCCAAGCTCTTTCAAAGTCTTCATTATATTTGCTCTTTCTTCTGGCTTCATGTTTTTGTTTTTTTCTAACTTGGATATTAGCATCTACCAAAAAAAAAAAAAGAAAAGCAGAAAAAAAGGTAAAATTATCCTTAGCAAACATTAATATAATAAGACTTAAAAACTTTACTTTTACGGGTATCTTTGTAAAATCAACCCTCTACATTAATTCCAGTATGCAAACAATGAGCTCTCATCTTACCTTCTGGCATTCTATCTGTTTTTCTAACACTTCTTGCCTCTTTTTCCTCATATCTTGTTGTAGCTTCATTGCTTCCTGCATAAATAAAAAAAGAAGAAATCAGTAACGGAAAACAAAATCTGCCAATGATACGTAACCTTACTATATCCTTAACTCACTTCTTCTGGGTCTTTATCTAAGACAGAATTTTCCTACTAATCAAAAAATAGCTGAAACCAGGGACAAAACCTTAACATTTCCAATGTAACAAGAGTTTACATTTATAACTATAGTTAAAAATATTTAAAATATTAAATAAAAAAAAGAAAAAGAAAAGGCTGGCGGTGCGGCTCACTAGGCTAATCCTCTGCCTGCAGCACCAGTACTCCGGGTTCTAATCCCAGTTGGGGCACTGGATTCTGTCCCGGTCGCTCCGCTTCCAGTCCGGCTCTCTGCTGTTGCCCAGGAAGGCAGTGGAGGATAGCCCAGTTCCTTGGGCCCTGCACCCGCATGGGAGACCAGTAGGAAGCACCTGGCTCCTGGCTTCAGATTGGTGCAGCGCGCCGCAGCCACTTGGGGGGTGAACCAATGGAAAAAGGAAGACCTTTCTCTCTGTCTCTCTCTCTCTCACTATCTAACTCTGCCTGTTAAAAATTTAATTAATTAATTTAAAAAAATAAAAATATTTAAAATATTGGCTACTAATAGCTGTATCTATAAAGTTAGTTGATTTGAATGATCTCAATGTCTTTATGAAGAAAAACAAGAGCAGCATGCATTTGAAAATGCAATAAGACATATCCTTATTTTTGAAGTTTAAAATGTAAAATGTAAGGGTAGGTGTCTGACACAATAACACAATAGTTAAGATGCTACTTGGGATACCCACATCCCATATCAGAGTACCTGGGTTCAAGTTCTGCTAATGTAGACTTTGGAAAGGTGCATTTATTGGCTCAAGTACTTGGGTCCCTGCCACCCACATGGATGATCTGGACTGAGTCCCCTGCTCCCCACTTCAGCATAGCTCCAGCTATTGTAGCCATTTGAGTAGTGAACCAGCAGATGGGAGCTCGCTCACTCGCTCTCTCTGCCTCTCCCTGACTCTCAAGTAAGTAAAATCAATAAATAAAAGTTAGGGGCTGGCATTTTGATATAATAAGTAAAGCTGTCAATGGCGATGTCAGCATCCCATATGGGCATGGGTTTGAGTCCCTGCTGCTCAAATTCTGATGCAGCTGTCTTTTAACGGCCTGGGAAAAGCAGCAGGAGATGGTCCAAGTGCCTGGGCCCCTGACATCCACATGGGACACACAGAAGAAACTCCTGGCTCCTGGTTTCAGCCTGCACAGCCCTGGCCATTGTGGCCATTTAGGGAGTGAACCAGTGGATGAGAAGATCAATTGAACTAAACTCTTTCAAACAAATAAATAAATGTTTAAAGAAGTAAAAATTAGGGGCCGGTGCTATGGCATAGCAGGTAAAGCTGCCACCTGCAGTGCTGGCATCCCCTATGGGTGCGATTCAAGTCCCAGCTGCTCCACTTCCAATCCAGCTCTCTGCTATGGCCTAGGAAAGCAATAGAAGATGGCCCAAGTCCTTGGGCCCTGCACCCATGTGGGAAGACCCAGAGGAAGCTCCTGGCTCCAGATTCGCTCAGCTTCAGCTGTTGTGGTCAATTGGGGAGTGAATCAGTGGTTGGAAGACCTCTGTCTCTACCTGTAACTCTTTCAAGTAAATAAATAAATCTTTAAAAATTAAAAAAAAAAAAAAAAGAAATAAAAATTGAGGTCAGTGCTGTGGCATACCGGGTAAAGCCATCATGTGTGGCACTGGCATCCCATGTGGGTGCCAATTCAAGTCCTGGCTGCTCTACTTCCGATCCTGCTCCTTGCTAATGCACCTAGGAAAGCAGCAGAAGACAGCCCAATTACTTGGGCCCCTGCACTCACATGGGAAACCTGGAGGAAGTTCCCAGCTCCTGGCTTTGGATCAGCCCAGCTCCGACCATTACAGCCATGTGAGGAGTGAACCAACAGATGGAAGATCTCACTCACACTCTCTCTGCAATTCTACCTTTCACATTAATATTTTTTTGAAAAAAGTAAAAATTTAAAATTGTAACTGTTAGAAGTGATCAAAATCTGCGGCTCTTTGCCAGAAATATTTGCCTCCCAAGCTCCTATTAAATTTCTAACTACACTGAGATATAACATATACTTATTTTATTGAAAAAGCTTATGGAAACTTAAATATAAGATAAAAATGAAACTTTTAACTTAATTATATGAATAACTGCATGAAAAGTCATAATTTGCTAAAATTATCTAATTTATAATACCTTTCCAAAAAGGAACTTAAAAAAAAATACATACTGAAATACAAGTCTCTCCCTTTCCTGGAGAAAAAACTTAATGGGAAAAATTTTATTCCTTGTGTTTGATGTGGCCACTGAAAGGCAATTGTGAAATACTTTTTGTTTGTTCATCTTTTTTTTTCCAACCGTACATTAAAAAGAGAAGGTTAATAAGCATTTAGATGTAGTTCTACAATAACATGAACGGATGAAGGTGTTAACACCACCACTTACAAATTTAATGTGTCCTAGGCCGGTGCCGCTCACTAGGCTAATCCTCTGCCTTGCGGCGCTGGCACACCAGGTTCTAGTCCTGGTCGGGGCACCGGATTCTGTCCCGGTTGCCCCTCTTCCAGGCCAGCTCTCTCCTGTGGCCAGGGAGTGCAGTGGAGGATGGCCCAAGTCCTTGGGCCCTGCACCCCATGGGAGACCAGGATAAGTACCTGGCTCCTGCTATCGGATCAGCGCGGTGCGCTGGCCACAGCACACCGGCTGCGGCGGCCATTGGAGGGTGAACCAACGGCAAAAGGAAGACCTTTTTCTCTCTGTCTCTCTTTCTCACTGTCCACTCTGCCTGTCAAAAAAAAAAAAAAAAAGTAATGTGTCCTTTCCTCTGTAAGGCAAAAAAAATCAAGACTGTTACCTGTTTTTTTTTAAGCACTTCTTGAACATCATGAGATTTAGACCCTGAACAAAGTTTGGAAGGTGTCTTCAAGTTTGAAGAACTATAAAGCGTTTTTGGGTGGCCTGGCGTTGAAAATATCTACAAAGGAAAAAAACAAATATAAATAAATTAAATCTCAAAAATGCTTTAGAAAAATTCCATGCATTTCTATTCTTTTAAGGATTTAAATTGTTTTTACCTTTAAAAATTCATTTATAAAATGTAGTTCTTTATATATAAACTCCATTGTTGCTCAAAAGACATCAAAGAAAAAAAGTTTTCAGTAGTAATGGTTTGTTTCTGAATGCAATTTCATATTTTTCTTCCCTTTATTTTTTAATTGTTTATTTTCATCTATTTGAAACATAGAAAGGCAGGAGGAGAGAAAAAGAAAGAGAGAGGGGATAGCACTGTGGCGCAGTGGGTTAAAGCCTTGGCCTGGGGTGCCGGCATCCCATATGGGTACCGGTTCTAGTCCTGGCTGCTCCTCTTCCAATCCAGCTCTCTGCTATGCCCTGGGAAAGCAGTAGAAGATGGCCCAAGTCCTTGGGCCCCTGTACCCACATGGAGACCTGGAGGTAGCTCCTGGCTCCTGGCTTCGGATCGGCACAGCTCCAGCCATTGAGGCCATCTTGGGAGTGAACCAGCAGATGGAAGACCACTCTCTGTCTCTACCTCTCTCTGTAACTCTTTCAAATAAATGAAATAAATCTTAAAAAAAAAAAAAAAAAAAGAAAGAAAGAAAGAAAAAGAGAAAGAGAGAGATCTTCCACATGATGGCTCAGTCCCTAAATACCTGCAAGAGCAACCAGAGCTGGGCCAGGCAAAAGCCAGGAACCTGGAACTCTATCCAAGTTCCCACATGGGTGGAAGAAGCCCAAGGACTTGAATCATTATCTGCTGCCTCCCGAGATCAATTACCAAGAAGCTGGATTGGAAGCAGAGTAGCTGGGATTCAGAACCAGCCCTCTAATATGAGATGTGGAGTTGTAAGCAGCAACTTTAAATCTGCAGCACCACAATTTCTAGGGTCGCTTTTATTTTATAATTACATTCAGTATTTAATGGTTCCAAGCCAAATCTACCAAATAATCAATAGTCAAAGTCAGCTTGCTTCTTTTACACTAGTCATAACTACTTGATCTGAACTGCTATGAATTACCTTCTTGTTCATTCTACTGTAACCAAATACTAATATGCACTGACTACTCTTACTTTCTAAACCAACAGTGGTCAACTACATTCCCTTCCATTTTGCTTTTTTAACTTAATACATCCTGTTAACCACTCCACTGTATATATAAAAATATTCCTTATTCCTTTGTGGATGTACTACATTTTAAGTAACCAGTCCCCTCCTAAAAGGCATTTGAGCTGTTTCCAGTGTTTTGCAGTTACAAACTATCTACAATTACTAACCTTGCATATACATCTTTTCATATTTTGGCTACTGCATCTTACCTGAATTTTTAAAGGGAACACTACTACTTCTTTGAATACATATATACTTCTGCCAGACACTGCCAAACTTCCTTTGACAGGGGTTGTATCATTTAGCATTTCCATCAATACCTAAATCTCAGATGCATTTGATATTTACTCTAGTTTATGATGTAATAAAAAATAATTTTATCTTTTCCATATGGCTATCCAGTTAGCCCAAGAGCATTTATCAAAAAGTGTGCATTTTCCCTGCTGATCTGATACTTAAACTCCCCACTTGCAACTGAGTCTACTTTTAGCTTTTCTATTCTGTTCCACTGGTCTACTCATGTGCCAACATCAAACTGTTTCAGTTACAGGGATTTATAGTATTTTTTTGGGCTATCCTCCAATATTATTTTTCTTTTTCAGGATTTTCCTGGTCTCCATTTGTAATAATCACCATGCTAGAAAGTCACTGCACAGATATATTCCTAAAAGCAAAAGAAATTACTTAGAAGTTATTCCAGGGCTGGTGCTATGGCACAGCGGGTTAACGCCCTGGCCTGAAGCACCGGTATCCCATGTGGGTGCCGGTTCGAGACCTGGCTGCTCCACTTCCTGTCCAACTCTCTGCTGTGGCCTAGGAAAGCAGTAGATCGCCCAAGTCTTTGGGCCCTGGCACCCATGTGGGAGACCCGGAGGAAGCTCCTGGCTCCTGACTTCGGATCGGCACAACTCTGGCCGTTGCGTCCAATTGGGGAGTGAACCATTGGATGGAAGACCTCTCTCTCTCTCTCTCTGCCTCTCCTCTCTCTGTGTAACTCTTTTAAGTAAAATAAATAAATATATTTTTAAAAAAAAGCTATTCCAAAGTTTGGCTTTTTATTATCACAGAATTTGCTTCACCAGGTTCTTAAAGAGGAAAAACTATTAAAGACATTTAATAAATGACTTATTAATAAAAAAGCTACCTATTAATATATAGCAAGAAATGTTCAACTCCCACTAAGCTTTGAACAAAAACATAAATTTGACTAGCAAATTTCTAAAGGAAGTTAGGAGGATGTATCTGCCACACTTAGGTCAAATGTCATATTCCTCTTTCCTGAGCAAATTATATATATCACAAATCTAGATGATAATTTGTTAATTTCTCTGTGCCACTGAATAGCTCTTAAATATATCTGAGGTTCACAGAATGCATACCTGGCAATCCTCTCCAGCACCACCAGACTGATTCAACAAGTGTGACGCATCACTCTGGTTACCACTTCCATGTCCAAGACGATGTTTAACAGGAACTTTGTTAAGAACATATGCACCTGGTGTCTGTGGTTTATTCATCATCTGCTTATACAAAATAAACATATATGTGGTAAAAGTTTCAAAACATGCCTTGGAAGGATGCAAATTTAGGACAGTGATTACCCTAGGGAAGAATATAAGAAAATAAGAATGGGAGGGAGCTTCAATTATCTTTAAGGTTTTATTTTTTTAAGTGGTGAGCACACAAATGATAATATTACCCACACTTTCTGGATGTTTAAAATATGCCAAAACAAAATGCATGCAGACAGGCATGTAAAATTTGCTAATGTTACCACTAGTACGTGATGCTTTGAAGATTTTGGGGGTTTTCACTGACCGTAGCTTAATACACCTAACAGTGTGAAATGATACCCTTCACAGCATAATGCAATTCTGGGCTGTATTAATAGAACATGGTCTAATGAACACACATGTAATGTTATCATTTTTTATACTATTTAACCAACCTCTAGAAAAAAGTATTCACCAAACTGAAATGGGATAAAAAGTCAATGAAAGTTTAGATGGAAATGAACATGATGATGAATGGAGATGAGACTATATACTGTTAAGGAATATTTCTTTTAAAAAAATCTAAGTGCACTGAATCTAAACATGAGAACAATATGAAGATCATTATTGTCAATATCCAAATAGCTCTAAGGGGCAGTTGTATGTTCTCCCAGGCACTATTTTAGAGAATAGGAATACAAAGAATATAATGGTAATATAACGGTCAAAATCCCAATTTTCCTGGAACTTCTCCTGTTTTAAAAGACATATAATTTTTCTAAATGGGAGAAAAATATGACAAATAGATGGATACTAGGAGACTGATTCTAACAAAAAATAAAGAACTAGTTCTACATTCAGAGCTGTTTGTTGGTGAATCGATTACTATACTTTAGTGGGCTAAGAATCACTTAAAGAGTGCTTCTTAAACATGTACATTTATGGGCCCTAGAATTAGAGATATACTCTATAGTATATAAATATACTCTATAGTACATTTATGAGTTCTATAATTACAGATATACTTTATAGGTCTGGTGCTATAGATGAGGCACAGAAACTTACACCCAGGTAAGTGTTCTGGTATAAAACAGTACTTCTTCCAGAGTACATAACACTTCAGAATACCTAAGAATCACCTGGAAAGTTTGTTAAAATACAGATTCCTGGGCACACACATAGGGATTCCAATTCATGAGAACTGGGTGAGGCCCAAGAGTTTGCATTTCTAATAAGGTCCTAGAAGATCACATGCTGCTGGTCTACATTCAAATTACGAGTAGATCTGATTATGAGTAGTGGAAGTGAAGCAGGCCTTGTAGTGCAGGGGATTAAGCTGCCGCTCTGGATGACTGCGTTCTGTATCAGAGTGTCTGGGATCAAGTCCTGCCTCTGCTTCCAATCCAGCTTCCTGCTAATGTGCCTGGGAGACAGCAGATGATGGTCCAAGTACTTGGGTTCCTGCTACCCACATAGGAGACTAGATGGAGTTCCCAGCTCCTGGCTCTGGTCCCCAGCTACTGTGGAGTGGCATTTGTGGACTGAACCACCAGATGGAAGGTATCTTTCTTTCTCACCATGTGTTGTATGTATGTGTGCACACACGTCTATATCCCTCTCACATCATTGTCTCTTTCAAAAAATTAAATGCTCAAAAATAATCAAACAGGAGAAAACCCAAAGTCCATAATTTGAGAAACAAGGATCTTAAGGAGGACCAATGGAATTTTAATTCCCAGTGCTCTGGATTACCTTCTGGATACCTCCATGTACCGTTGAGGGAGGAGACTGGGTCACCAGCACCTGCTGTGAATGAAGATGCTGTGGCACGTGATGATGCTGCTGTGAAAGGTGACTAAGTGTCTGCTGCTGTTGCAGGAGCAGCTGTGAGGGGGACTGGAGTGCTGGTTGCTCATTATTTTCCCTATGCCACAGGACTCGAATGAATCGGTTGTTTAGAACTGCTTCTGTGCTAGAAATAGCTTTTCTGGCCTCCTCATTAGTAAGATATTGGATGAGGGCTGCTTCCGGATCACCCTTAAATGCAACCTTTAAGAAAATAATAGAAACAACATAAATTCACAACACAGAACAATGAAATAAACTGTGGTTGAGTACTATGGATGGGACTTATGTATCCCCAAAATTCACATGTTGAAGCCTTAACCTATAACAGAGACAGCTTTTAGGAGGTAATTAAAGTTAAACAGAACTGGTGATCTTATGAGAAGAGGAAGGAATTTCTTTATATCTCTTTGCTATGCAAAGACAATAGAAGTCAGAAGGCTGCAAGCCAAGAAAAGAGCCCTCACAAAGCACCTTGATCTTGGACTTTCCACCCTACAAAACTGTGAGATAATAACTGATGTTGTTTAAGCCACACTCAGTCCATCAGTCTATGGTATTTTTTTAAAAGATTTATTTATCTGAAAGGCAGAGTTACAGAGAGACAGAAGCAGAGGCAGAGGCAGGGGCAGAGAGGTAGGAATCTTCCACCTGCTGGTTCACTCCCCAGATGGCTGCAACAGCCAGAGCTGGGCTGATTCAAAGCCAGGAGCCAGGAGCTTCCTCTGGGTCTCCCATGTTGGTACAGAGGCCAAGGTCTTGGTCCATTTTCTACAGCTCTCCCAAGACACAACAGAGAGCTGGATGGGAAGTGGAGCAGCCAAGACTGGAATCCATATGGGATTCTGGCACTGCAGGTGGTGACTTTACCGGCTGTAACACAGCACTGGCTCCAGTATATGGTATTTTTTATGGCAACCCAAGAAGACTAATACATTTACCTACATTAATGCATCTAAATTTTTCTAAGGGCCAGTGTTGAACAACAATGGGTTAAGAGGCCAAGTACAATGCCAGCACACATTTTGGACTGCCATATTGGAGATTTGGGGAGTGAACCACTGCAGATATTAAGAATTCTCTATCTCTGTCTCTGGTTCTGTCACTCTACTTTTCAAATAAATATAAATTTTTTAGAAGTATATGGAGGCCGGCGCCATGGCGCCGGCACACCAGGTTCTAGTCCTGGTCAGGGCACCGGATTCTGTCCCGGCTGCCCCTCTTCCAGGCCAGCTCTCTGCTGTGACCCGGGAGTGCAGTGGAGGATGGCCCAAGTCCTTGGGCCCTGCACCCCATGAGACCAGGATAAGTACCTGGCTCCTGCCATTGGATCAGCGTGGTGCGCCGGCCGCGGCGGCCATTGGAGGGTGAACCAATGGCAAAGGAAGACCTTTCTCTCTGTTTCTCTCTCTCACTGTCCACTCTGCCTGTCCAAAAAAAAAAAAAAAAAAAAAAGTATGTGGAAAATGGAATTCAAAGGACTTTGTTTTTGACAGATGAGTTCTAGGCTTCTGGCTTCAGCCTGGTTCAGCCATTTGGGGAGTGAACCAGCCAATGGAGATATCACTCTCTCCATCTCTCTGTCACTCTGCCTTTCAAATAAAAAAATTAAAAAAATTAAAAATACACTAACATTCAAATTTAAACTAGCCTTCAAGCACCATCAAGTAGAAAATAAAATCCAACCATGAATTCGATAACTAACAAATAGACAGCAAAATACAAAAATTTCAATTTGAGAGGCCGGCACTGTGGCGCAGCAGATTAACGCCTCGACCTGAAGCACCGGTATCCCACATGGGCACCAGTTGAAGACCTGGCTGTTCCACTTACAATCCACCTCTCTGCTATGGCCTGGGAAAGCAGTAGAAGATGGCCCAAGTCCTTGGGCCCCTGCACCCACATGGGAGACCTGGAAGAAGCTCCTGGCTCCTGGCTTCGAATCAGCACAGCTCCAGCCGTTGCGGCCAATTGGGGAGTGAACCAATGGACGGAAGACCTTTCTCTCTCTGCCCCCCTCCCCTCTCTCTGTGTAACTCTGACTTTCAAATACATAAATAAATCTTAAAAAAAAAAAAAAAAAAACCAGAAACTCCAAAACTCTAAAATTCTCAAGATCAGAACCAGTCATTCAGTAGCCAGTGTTACAATGTCAGAAATAACCAAAAATCTCAACAATATAGTTAGAATATTAATACAAATTTAAAAAAATAGCTGAGGCTGGTACTGTGTACAGTGGGCTGTCACCTGTGATGCCAACATCCAGTATTATAATGCCAGTCTGAGTGCTAATCCAAGTCCTGCCTACTCCACTTCCTGCCAGTATATCAGGGAAGGTTCATCTAGTTGGGCCCCGCCACCCATGTGGGACACCAAGATTTAGTCCTTGGCTCCTGGCCTCAGTCCAGCCAAGACCTGCAGTTGCAGCCAACTGGGTAGTGAACCAGCAGATCAAGGATATCTCTCTTTCAGTTGCTCAGCCTTTCAAATAACTTTTTTAAGGTCATTTGTTCAAAGATAGAACTATCATCAAAAATTTTAACTAGGCCATTGTCTTCCAGAAAGGGCTGCAGAAAAGAACCAAACGAATTTACAAGAATAAATTCAGCATAATAATTCCATGATAAAGCTGTGTGTGTGTGCTTGTGTGTATAGTGGCATTCCAAACACTTAGCAGAAATGATGAGAATAACCACTGACAAAGTGAGCTGTTCAGAATTCTTTCCAAGATACATAAAATGCATGGATTTTGTCTCTGATGGTACCACATTTACCTGTATATTAACAATAGTTCCAAATCTGCTGAAATGTTCATTGAGCTTGGTAATGTTGTTCAATTCCTGAGGGATTTTCTTCACTTCTAATTTGGTGTTCGTATACTGATTCTTTCGTAAGAATCCTGGTTTACTCTGATTATTATTCCCTTGCCTAAAAGAACATTAACAGATTTTGGTTAATTCTCCCATTTCGTGCCTAGCCAAGCAATACATTAGCAAGTAAGTTTATATATATTAAAAAATGCCTTTGGTAGCCTCTAGCATTCTTCAGCAATTACTGAGCAACTCTCACATCATCCTTATTACACAACAATAGAACAAGTAAAAAGAAAGAAAGAAAAGTGGACAGCAAAAGATTACAAAAAGAAGCTTAATTAACATTAAAAATCATATGCCAAAAAAATTTACCACAATTATAAACATGACTAAAATTAAATCAAGGCTAAGGCATTAATTTTCAGTGGTGTGTTTTTCAACCTCTGTAAAAATACAGAATTTTTTTTCTTTTTCTATTTATTTCAACTGCCTCAATCTTTTTAAATAATTAGGCACAGAAATTGATAGGCACCAATTACAAACATCTACTATGAATATTCTGCTAAAGTTTCAACTTTTAGGAATTCTAAAGATGTCCCCTAAAACCCTAACTTTAAGACTTCGAAAAGAATCACTCATTAAATGACACTTTTAATTTTTCAAATTTACTAATGCAGACAAAACAATAAAAACACCAATTAGATATTAGAAATTAGCAAGTTATCTTACTTTCCCAGCCAAGGTTTCTTCGTAAGTGGCCCTTCTAAACCACTTATTGCTCTTTTCCGGCTATCTGGTTCAAGAACTACTCTGGTTATGTTGCTATTAATTGAAACAGGAACTGGTGGTTCAGTCTGGATGACAATGTTAGCAGCTGTTGAAAACAAAAATTCACATATTGAGTTTTTGGAGAATCTCAAATGATTACATATGTAATGTAAAAGCTAAAAATACTGTGAATAGCACTCAACTACTACTGTTTCCTTTTTCTCCTCTTAAGAGAATAGAAATCAAAGTTTAAAAACTTGAAGACAACCACAATGTAGTAACGTTTTTAATGTTTATTTTTATTTATTTTCATCTACTCTGAAAAACACTGCGAGAGAGAGAGAGAACTTTCATCTGATGTTCACTCCCTAAATGCCAGCAATAGCCACGGCTGGACCAGGCTGGAGTCAGGAACCTGGAACTATACCCAGCTCTCTCACATGATCAGCAGTGGCCCAGACACTTGGGCCATCACCTATTGCCTCCCAGGACACCAGGAGAAAGCAGGATCAGAAGCAGATTGGCCAAGACTGGACCAAGCACCCATATGGCATGCAGGCAGCCAAGCAGCAGTTTAACCTGCAGCAACATAGTGCTCATCTACTCAATGTGTTATTATTAATAATATTATAATAGATATAAAAAATTATTAGTGAAAAGTTGTTAGATGGTGCCAAAATACGACTTCATAGATTATTCACAATTCAGAGAGATAACAAATATCACCTCAGACAAACAAACTTAGCACCATCAACAGAAGGGTTTTATTTGCCTTCTGAGGCAATTCAACAAAATGTTCACTGCATCTTAAGGACTGAAAATTAATATGGAATAATTATTTTCTCATGTGTATGAGTGATATTGTAGAGGACCTTTATTCTTAGATGTAAGCTAAAACACTTACAAGTGTGACAGTACCTTTCAAGTTGTTCAAGAAAAAAAAAATGTCAGAGGGGCCTGCGCTGTGGCATAGCATGTTAAAGCCCTGGCCTGAAGCACTGGCATCCTATATGGGTGCCAGTTCAAGACCCGGCTGCTCCTCTTCTGATCCAGCTCTCTGCTATGGCCTGGGATAGCAGTGGAAGACGGCCCAAGTCCTTGGGCCCTTGCACCCACGTGGGAGAGACCTGGAAGAAGCTCCTGGCTCCAGATCGGCGCAGCTCTGGCTGTTGCGGCTATCTGGGGAATGAACCAGCGGATGGAAGACCTCTGTCTCTACCTCTCTCTGTAACTCTTCCTTTAAAATAAATAAAATAAATATTTTTTTAAAAAAAGGAAAAAAAAGAGAGGTGAAAGTATGCATGTCAGTATTCATGCCCAGGAGTGACAAAAATGTAACTGGTATATCTAAGCAAAGGCATTCATGTATTCACTATATTTCTTTTACTTTTTTATAGTTTTTAAAATTTCCAAACTGAAAAGTTGGAAAGTCCAAAGTCAATACTGTAAACTAGCATATTTCTCTCACCATGATTAAGACACAAGTGTTAGAATAAATTAACCTTGGAATAGGTTACCCAAAGGTGGGAAGAGGTATGTTGAACAAAGAGGTAAATAACAACACAAAACTATACCTGTTATACCCTGAGTATTTGCCTTAAAATTCAGCAACTGCTCCAAGCAGAGGGTAACATGTGTTACTGGACACTGGGGTAGGGATGTGGGTAACATACTACTTGTGACCATCATAAAAATAAGGATAAAGGCCAGCGCCGCGGCTCACTAGGCTAATCCTCCACCTTGCGGCGCCGGCACACCGGGTTCTAGTCCCGATCGGGGCGCCGGATTCTGTCCCGGTTGCCCCTCTTCCAGGCCAGCTCTCTGCTGTGGCCAGGGAGTACAGTGGAGGATGGCCCAAGTCCTTGGGCCCTGCACCCCTTGGGAGACCAGGAGAAGTACCTGGCTCCTGCCATCGGCTGTGGCAGCCACTGGAGGGTGAACCAATGGCAAAAGGAAGACCTTTCTCTCTGTCTCTCTCTCTCTCACTGTCCACTCTGCCTGTCAACATAAAAAACAAAAAAACAAAACAAACAAACAAAAAAAACCCATAATAATAAAAAAAGGATATAAACACAGATTCGCTTTACATGTATCTCTTCAGCAGCTAGCTATTTCACAGCTCAGCAACTGTACTATACCTTAAATATAAATTAGTGAATTAAATAAAAATGATACATGTCCTTGTAGGATTTGTCTTCAGAAGGCTAGTGGAGGAAATAGGGAATTATCAAATGATCAGTTCTAGGGTTGGTGCTGTGAGAGAGGGTGAAGCTGCGCCTGCAATGTTGGCATCCCACATCAGATTGCCAATTCAAGTCCTGGCTGCTCTGTGTCTGATTCAGCTCCCTGGGAAAGCAGCAGCAGATGGCTCAAGTCCATGGGCCCCTGTTACCCATGCTGGAGACAGATAGAGCTCCAGGCTCTAATCTTGGGCCAGGCCATTGTGGACATTTGGGGAATGAACTTGTGGATAGAAGCTCTCTTTCTGTCACTCTTTCAAATAAATAAAATAAATCTTAAAAAAAAAAAAAAAATCAGGGGCTGGTACTGTGGTGTAGCAGGTAAAGCTACCATCTGTGACACTGGCATCCCATAAGGGCGCTGGTGCACGTCCCAGCTGCTCCTCTTCTGATCCAGCTCTCTACTATAGCCTGGGAAAGCAGGAGAAGATGGCCCAAGTCCTTGGTCACCTGCACCCACGTGGGAGACACAGAAGAAGCTCCTGGCTCCTGGCTTTGGATCGGCGCAGCTCCAGCGGTTGCAGCCAATCAGGGAGTGAACCAGCGGATGGAAGACCTCTCTCTCTCTCTTTGTGCCTCTCCTTCTCTCTCTGTGTAACTCTTTCAAATAAAATAAATCTTTTAAAAAAATACAATTTGGAGACAGTAAAAAAAAAAAAAGTGAGATGATTACATAATACTCTTCAAAGAATTTTGAAAATTTCCTCAAGTAAGGACAAAAATGCAAACATAATAACTATGTCTAGTTGTTATAACACAGCAGCTCTGCCATTGCTTGGAATGCCTGCATCCCATAGCAGAGTGTCAATTTGAGTCCTGAATACTCTGTTTTGATCCAGCTCTCTGCTAATGTGCCTGGGAAACAGCAAATGATCATGGCTCAAGTACTGGAGTTACTAACACTCACATGGTAAACCGGATGGAGTTCTTTGGCTCCTTGCTTCAGCTTAGCCCAGCCCCAGCTGTTGCAGCCTTTTGGGGAATAAACTAGCAAATGATAGAACTCACAGATGGCAGATGTGTGTGTGTGTGTGTGTGTGTGTGTGTGAATGTGTGCTTGCATGTGCATCACTTCACCTTTCAAATAAATAAGCACATCTCCTACAAAAATAAATATATCCAACTACTGCATAAAACCTTGCATTAAAAAAAGTTCAATGCACTCTCACCTCTTGGATTTGCATCCATATCTCCAGATGTTAGGCCAATCAGGTTGGGGCGCTGTGTCTGTGTTCTTGAAAAGAACTGTCTGTACTGAGATCTACCAGAACTGGTAATACTAGGAGCTTCTGGGTTATAACCATCCGGCTCATATGTATCTGAGAGAAAACAAAGCAACAGAACAAGTAACAAATCAGAAAGAGGTTAAGCATTTTATCATTACTATACACAACTGCTAAAAACACCTATTTTCCAAAAAATACAGTTATATTGATCTGTATACATTTCTCTTTAATTTAGAGTATAGACACATCTTTTAGAAGAAAAATGCTACTGTTGTAAAACATACATAAACTTTATTCTTAACTGTTGATATATTTCCAGATTCATTCATCTAGTCATTTCTACCCTATATATTACATCAACTGATCCAAACTTCAAAGCTTATTTTAAAGACAAATTTTCATGTAGATGAATGCTATAATGTTAGGATTAATTCAATTTCCTTTATTACTCATCACATCTCACCAACTTCTATTTTTATTTATTTTTATTTTTTTATTTTTTGACAGGCAGAGTGGACAGTGAGAGAGACAGAGGGAAAGGTCTTCTTCCTTTGCCATTGGTTCACCCTCCCATGGCTGCCACGGCCGGCGTGCTGCGGCCAGCGCACCAGGCTGATCTGAAGCCAGGAGCCAGGTGCTTCTCCTGGTCTCCCATGGGGTGCAGGGCCCAAGCACTTGGGCCATCCTCCACTGCACTCCCTGGCCACAGCAGAGAGCTGGCCTGGAAGAGGAGCAACCAGGACAGAATCTGGCACCCCAACCGGGACTAGAACCCGGTGTGCCGGCGCCGCAGGCAGAGGATTAGCCTATTGAGCCGCGGTGCCGGCCATCACCAACTTCTAAAGAATTTGCAGAGGTTGGGGGGAAGGAGTCATTCTATTCATTTAGTTAACTGCACTTTAGACTGGAGAGATAACAGCTGGTTTCACACACAAAATATACTTCAAATACAACTAAATAAGATAAATTTGATATATACAAAAGTAGCAATTATCTTTACCACCATCCTTCATCATATATTTTGATGTTTCCTGTGCTTTCTTTACAACTAAAAATTTACTTTTTAGACTTCTAATGCTAAATAATTATGTTGTGGTTTTAAAAAATTATCGCCAGCAGTGTGGTCAAGTAGGTTAATACACTACCTGCAGTGCCTGCATCCCATACGGGCACTGTTTAGTGCCCTGGCTGCTCCTCTTCTGATCTGCTATGGCCTCGGAAGGGAGAAGACAGCCCAAGTCCTTGGGGCCCTGCACCCACAAGGGAGACCAGGAAGAAGCTCCGAGCTCCTGGCTCCGGATCAGCCCAACTCTAGTTGTTGCTGCCATTTGGGGAGTGAACTAGCGGAAAGACGACCTTTTCCTTCTCTCTCCCTCTCTAACTCTGTTTCTCAAATAAATAAAAATCTGGGCTAGCACTTTGGCACAGCAGGTTAATCCTCTCCCTGCGGCACAGGCATCCCATATGGGCGCTGGTTCTAGTCCCGATTGCTCCTCTTCCAATCCAACTCTCTGCTATGGCCCAAGTCCTTGGGCCCCAGCACCTGCCTGGGAGACCAGGAAGAAGCTCCTGGCTTCTGGCTCCTGATCAGTGCAGCTCTGGCCATTGCAGCCATTTGGGGAGTGAACCATTGGAGGGAAGACCTTTCTCTCTGTCTCTTCCTCTCACTGTCTGTAACTCTACCTCTCAAATAAATAAAAATATAAATAAATAAAATATTTAAAAAAGAAAATTCTCTAAGTGTTTATCTCCAACTGGTACATACTCTCTTTATCCATCCCACAAAGAATGAAAGGGTTAAAATTGACTAAAGACACTGATTTTCATAGTTCTCTGGCTTTTTTTTTCTTAGTGGAAAAATTCCCTATTTAATTCACATTAAGTTTCAGCTACAATTTAAAGTGCATTCAGATCTTCATTATTGGTCCTTCATTTCTATGATACAGAATATAAGATCAACAGATTATCCCTATTTAGGGGACTCTCCTGGCATCTAAAGGCATTTGAGACTGCAGCCCTTGTCAAAATAAACATAGGCTTTCAAGAAGCTGACACTAAAGCAAATCTCATTCAACCGTCTTAGATTAAACCTCTCCCCTGAATACTGTGCTTTCCCTAACTTCAGGTTCATATTCAAACTCTCTCCTTGTACAAAACATCACTGGGTTACCATGAGTCTGAAACAACAAAATGCCATTAAAGCAAGGTGACTCTGTAAGTTATGTGGTATCAGAACTAGAAGTGCTAGTGCATTCCTTCTCTTCCCCCATCCCCATTACTTTCCCTTCTTCTGGTGTAGAAACAGTTCACATAATCATACAAAAAGGGCATCAAGAGATTAAAAACTGTCTTTAACAAAATGTTAAGATTGAAAATCAATCACCAGGCTAGCCTGTGCTGCCCCCTCAGAGGAGAACAGCTCAGAAAATTTAATAAATTATTATCACGATGATGTTCCTATCATAGAATTGGTTTTTCATGCTCAAAGCTTGCAGTCAACCTCAAAATTGCATGATGGTGGTTATTATAACCAAATAGATTCTGAACTTCAATGGTTAGAGGGTCACATTTACAGTTAATCCTCCAAAAAGTATTACTTGGGCTTCATATTTAATTCAACTTCTGTTCTAACCCTCCTCTCTGTAATTTGTTTAAAACAACTAAAGGCAATATTTAATCATAAGCAGGCCCTCCTCACAGAAACATATCTGCAATGACAAGCACAACTTAAAAGCAAACATAATCACCTTGTTTATTAAATTTAGATGTATTTAAGGTCAACATAGTTTGAAGACAATATGTAAAATAAAAGCTTCTATGGTTACAAATGTCAATTCTGAAAACTACATGCAACAGAGGCTAGCAATGTGGCACGGTGGGCATTATCCAATTGAGCCCTACTGTTCTACTTTTGACTGATAGCTTCCCCTGCTAACATGCCTAGAAAGGTAATGGAAGATGACCCCAGTATTTGGGCTCCTGCTACCCATGTAAGAGACCAAAATGGAATTCCTGCCACCTGGCTTTGGCCTGGCCCACCCCTGGTCATTGTGGGTATTTGAGGAGCAAATCAGTAGATGGAAGACCTATCTTTCTGTCATTTTGCTTTTCAAATGAATATTAAAAAAAAAAAGACTACAAAACTACATGCAACGTAACACAGAAAATAAATGCTGCTCCATCTTTAATGCTACAGAACATTTTTTAAAAGTTACATAATGATCCTGTCCTATAATTCCATACAAAACCCCAAAAAACTTAAAAGTCTTGTGGTTAATTACGATGAACCAGATCTAAAAGTAAATTGAGAAAAGTTAAAAAACAAACAAAAACTCTTAAGACATTCACAAAGTACTTTTTTAAAGACCTTCAAAATATACATGTCAGTTAAGAGGGAAGAATTTTCAAGTATGACTACATTTACACAGCCAGTCCATACAACAAGGGGCAGAGGGCAAAAAGAACAAATTCATCCATGATGTTCAGCAAGAAACCAGGTTTATTTTTTAAAGAAAAATTAACCTAATTTATATAATTAAGTAATCAGAAAACACTCAAATAGATGGGGCCAGCACTGGAGCACAGCGGGTTAACACCCTGTCCTGAAGCACCAGCATCCCTTATGGGCGCCAGTTCAAGCCCCGGGTGCTCCACTTCCCATCTAGCTCTCTGCTATGGCCTGGGAAAGCAGTAGAGGATGGCCCAAGTCCTTGGGCCCCTGCACCCGCATGGGAGATCTGGAAGAAGCTCCTGGCTCCTGACTTTGGATCAGCGCAGCACCAGCCGTTGTGGCCAGTTGAGGAGTGAACATTGGGTGGAAGACCTATCTCTCTCTCTCTCTGCCTCTCCTCTTTCTGTGTAACTCTGACTTTCAAATAAATAAATAAATCGTTTTTAAAAAATAAATAAAAAACGAAACATTCAAATAGATATTAATTTCCTATCTACCTGATTAGAAACTAGCTCAAGAAATTAGCATGATTTTGTTTCCAAGGCACTGAAAGCAAATACAGAGAACACCAGAGATGATAAGACATACAGGAGGCCTAATCATCTAGCAGCCACTAAAGACAAACCAAACAAGCAGAAGAACAGAAAACTACCTGGTAAGAGCTTTAATGGGAATGTGACAGCAGAGCGGGAACCAGGTCACCTCTTAGGCTGGCCACCTTATGATACAAAAGATCAGCAAGATGGATAGCCTTCTGCAGCAAAGCTTACCTGGGACCAGAGGGGTGGGGCTGGAGACTGAGGTATGGTACCCAATGGAGGATCCCATGAGGTTGCGAGGTGGCACCAAACGAGCTGCCAACAGAGGAGGCGGTGTCCCCAACTGAAGTCGCTCAGATGCAGCAGCACCATGTTCACGAGAGTACATGGGCTGTCCTATAGAGGAAAGAATAGGAGGGCAGCTGGGATTGAGAGTCCAAAGCTTCTCTTAGATAATGATGTACTTATTGAGACTCTGAATGAAGAACAGAGAAATTTTACCAACAGGAACAGTAAAGGATAAAGATGTTACTGAGATTTTTTTCTGACTCATGAAAACTTAGACATGTAACTAGTTAGGATGTGTTGATGCAAAAAGAAAGACTAAGAATTAGGTAGCACGACTGCATAACCCCATCTTTTACGATCTTAAATGGAGTACCTATGTGTTAGTTTTGCTCAAAGTTGAACAACCTCATCAACTTACTAGACAAAGAAGCCCTGAGCTAAGAATTTTGTATCCAATAAGAAAGAGATACATAGATATGTATGAAGGCTGTCACATACCAAAATTAGACAAACAAGGAGCAGGAATAGATGCTGGGTTGGGATGCCTGAGTGAAGTATCAGAGTGCCTAGATTTAACACCCTTCTCTAGCTCCTGCATCCAGACTCCTGATAGTCTAGACCCTGGGAGGCAGTGGTGATGGCTAAAGCAACTGAGTTCCTGGCATTCAAATGAGAGACAAGTATTGAGTTCCTGGCTCCTGGCTCTGGCCCGGCCCAGTCCAGTCCTGGCCACGGTGAACATTTATGAAGTGAACCAGGAGACAGGAACTCTCTCACATCTTTCTCAAATCAAAACAAAAAATCCTTCACTCCATCCCCTTCATACAATTTCAAATTTGTACAAGATATATACTCCCACATCTGGGAGCAGAAAAGACAATAATAAAGGAATTAAAAATAAATTACCACAAATGTACCATCACTGAGAATAACATTAAAAAGAAAAAATGAAACAATTTAACAAAACTGTGTTATCCCTGTGAACAAGTGAATAACAAATACAGAAAAGGAAAAAAAGAGACTAAAACAAAAAAACAGACTACCATTGAACATACTAAATTATTTCAGGTATTAAGAATCTCATTTTGAAAGAAAGTACATTTAGAGGTATATACACTGATGCAAGAATGCACACAATTGAAGCCAAGTCCTATAGAATAGGATTAGAAAAAGACAAGGTATCAAGGAACAAAACAGTCCTTTTTCCATTTACTAGAATCTTATCCAGTAACAACTCCAAGTGAAACATATTTCTAAAACTTTGTCAGTGTTTTATATCAAGTATATCTAATAACTGTCTCATAGTAAATTAGAAACTCAATGGCTAGTTTGCAAAATGTCCACCAAAAAACAAAGTTTATATAGAATTTTTCCTTAACATCTGATTAAATGTCCTTAAAAGTTCAGCAATTCCTACAGATTTTTAATACATCTCAATAAGACAGGCTACAGGCCTGCGCCGCGGCTCAACAGGCTAATCTTCCACCTAGCGGCGCCGGCACACCGGGTTCTAGTCCCAGTTGGGGCGCTGGATTCTATCCCAGTTGCCCCTCTTCCAGGCCAGCTCTCCACTGTGGCCAGAGAGTGCAGTGGAGGACAGCCCAAGTCCTTGGGCCCTGCACCCGCATGGGAGACCAGGAGAAGCACCTGGCTCCTGCCTTCGGATCAGCGCGGTGCGCCGGCTGCAGTGCACTGACCGCAGCGGCCATTGGAGGGTGAACCAACGGTAAAGGAAGACCTTTCTCTCTGTCTCTGTAAAAAAAAAAAAAAGGCTACAAAACAACCATTTTGATTTCATGGTCAATGTTTATGAAAAATAAATAAGCTACACTTTACCACTCTTCTCCTATAAATGTATAAAAGGTGATAAACCATATTGTACAGCAGACCACATAACTGTATTTAGCACCAATCCTTTCAAAAATTATATTAAAAAAGGATCATTCATTACACTGCAAAAACAATTCCTCAGTGATCTGAAAATAGTTGTATGATCTGTTACAGAAAACGCCTTATGAAGAGTGACCTATCAGCAAAACATAGCATTCTACACAAAAATATGTGAAGAAAAACAACCTCAGGCCACATGATTACTTTAAATACACAAAGTATTAAATATATTAAGTATTATTCAATTCATCAAGTATATCTAATAACTGCCTCTAGAAATTAGAAACTCAATGGCTAGTTTGTACAATGTCCACCTTCAAAACGAATGACAACATGTAGTTCAAACACTTCAGAAAGATGGCTGCTTATTCAAATTAAACCAGATTTTCTTACACACAGCTATTAAGATCTCTAAATAATACTTCTAGAAGAAACAGGTTTCTTTAAGACAAAAAGAGCTGATTCTAAGACTGGGCAAAAAACAGTATCCCTTATCCTTCCAAAAGCAAGACAGTTATCAAAGAATAGCTTGTCCAAAAAACAAGGTTACCAAGAGCAATCATGAAGAAGCTTCCCACTGGCAAAGCTGAGACAATGTGAACATGAGACAGGACTACAATGGAGTGAAAACACATCAAACATGTTAAAAATTCATGAGTTCATAATGATAGTTTAAAAATAAATGCAGTGGTCCCTTTGGAAGACAGAGGGAGCCAACTCATTCTGCAAACCAATAAATGAAAGGAAACAAGTTTTATCCTTTCATGTAAAATGTGTATTTCAGGTTAACCAAATGGTTAATACTGCCAAGTTTCACTTAATAAAATGTCAATAATAAATGTAAGAGAAACTACAGAATTAGAGTATCAAATGAAATAGCAGATTCAGGTAATAATCCAAAGTAGTCAAACCATGAACAACTTTTAAAATGGATGGATCACAATGAAAATAACTGTACATACTGATCAATATTTCTAACACAGGAGACAAACAGACATTAGGAGCATCACAATGATGAGTACTACAGTAAGAAGTATAGAAGTATATAACCCTAACTGTAACATGTTCTTTCCAAAAACAGGGACAAAAAGTCATTCTAATGAAGTGTCTAGATATAACTTCCAATTTACAGGAAATACAGGAATGTGTTAAATAACCCTAGGAAATGCAAATCTGCCAAGTCCAGAATGTGAGAAAATTCTTCAGGACAAATGATCTATTCCTTCAACAAATAAATGTCTAGGAAAAAGAAAAAGTTAAGGGAAACTGTTACAGATTCAGGACATCTATTAACTGCATGTAGTGCATAGCTCTGGATCTAGCTTCAAATAAACCAGCTGTAACAGGATATTTACAATAAAATGGGAATATATAAGTATCAACTACATATCTGTTAGAAAATTTGGGGGGAATGTGACAATACCATGATTTTGTCTGTGTGTGCGTCTGTGTTTAATCTTTATCTTTTAACAATACTAAATTTTTTTCAGATGGAATGTTGTTTCGGACTTGTTCTAGCATAATCAAACCAAGAATAAGTTACAGATGAAGCTGGATTAACCATACCTCAGTAACTTTTGAAGCAGAAAGTGTGTACACACAGATTCACTAGACTACCAGCTCTCCTCAAGGCTTTCACAATAAAAGTTTTTTAAGGGACCTGTACTGTGGTGTAGCAGGTAAAGCCACCACCTGTGATGCTGGCATCCAAACTGAGCGCTGGTTGAGCGCTGGTTGAGTTCTGGCTGTTCTGTTTCTCTCTCTTTTTTTTTTTTTTCTTTTAAGATTTTTAAAATGTATTTATTTGAGAGGCAGAGTTACAGAGAGAGGGAGAGAAAAGGAGGAAGGTCTTCCATCTGCTGCATCACTCCCCAAATGGCCACAACAGCCGGATCTGAGCTGATCCAAATCCAGGAGCCAGGAACTTCTTCCGGGTCTCCCATGTGGGTGCAAGGGCCCAAGGACTTGGGCCATCTTCTACTTCTTTCCTAGGCCATAATTAGAGAGCTAGATCAGAAGAGGAGTAACAGGACAGGAACCAGCACCCATATGGGATGCCAGCACTGCAGGCAGAAGCTTAGCCTACTACACCACAGCACCGGCCATGTCAGCTGGGCTGCTCCACTTCTGCACCTGGGAAAGCAGTGGAAGATGAACCAAGAACCTGGCCCCCTGCCACCTGTGTGGGAAGCTCCTGGTTTTGGTCTGGCCCAGCCCTGACCATTGAAGTCATCTGTGTGTGGCCATTTCGGGAGTGAACCAGCAGATGGAAAATTTCTGTCTCTGTTTCTCCCTTTCTTTGTGATTCCAACTTTCAAGTACATAAAATAAATCTTTAAAAATGATTTTTTTAAATTAAACAAGTTACAATAATGGTAAAGATAAAGCAGTCAGAATTCACATTCATTCAACTTTGTTTTTGGTCAACACAGAGTAATAGGATAATTCCGAACCCCAAGCACCCCAAGTTCATGTTCCCATTTAAGTTGTTTCTCTGTCTTACACATCTGGTATCAGTTTTTACATTCTTGATTATTAACCAAAAGATAGTCTTCATTCAAAGTAAAACTTAAGTCATCTTCTGTAACTTTCCTAATTTCATTTTTAATAGTACTCACAGGGAAAAAACTTGTAAGATAACCGTTAAGCTGAAAGCTAAAATCTAGAAAAAATAAAAAGCAACATCTTCCAAATATTAACCAAGTTTACCATGCCTCCTGCTTCAGAATGTTTCATGGCCTAAATGGTGCCTGGTGCATAGTACGAACTGAATGAAAAGTCACTTAAAGAAGAGGTTAAAGCTTAAAGTATCCAAATGACAACGTTGAAATGGGTACTCGGACAACTAATGCAACATGAATCAAAGTAAAATACAGGATGAGACACTGATTCACTTTTCTAGACATTAAACCATTGTATGAGTGGTTATGTATTCCACAGAATTAAATGAGCAAATCTCAAGCTTAGTAACATAGTATTTTCATAATAGTTAGAGGAAAATTACTTTTTGAAACAAAGATTATTTATGTGAATTCACTTGAAGGGTGGACAATTACCTTCAACTCAACAGTCACCAAACATGTCACATTCCCATTAGTTTTTTCTCACATTCGATACAAAATTTTACCAATTATAAAATATTTCCATGCATCTTCTTCAAGGAAGTAGAAGACCAACCAAATATAAAACAGAAAACAAGTATACTTTACTTAAAAATG